CTCCAACCTACTTGCGATGGCCTCCAACCTACTAGCGATGGCCTTTGCGATGGCCTCCAACCTACTTGCAATGGCCTCCAACCTCCTATATAGTGATGGCCTCCAACCTACTTGCGATGGCCTCCAACCTACTACCTACATTGCAATGGCCTCCGGCCTCCAAATTACCCCTTGCAATGGCCTCCAACCTACTATTGCGGTGGCCTCCAACCTACTATTGCGATGGTCTCCAACCTACTTGCGATGGCCTCCAACCTAGTTGCGATGGCCTCCAACCTAATAGCAAACTAAGACTAAGACTAATTCCTTCATATTTCTTGTATGCTGTTGGACATGTCACATGTCTTGACGACATGGCATGACGCATCTGGTTCTTTCAGATGTGAAGTGAATCGTGGTGACAGGTGGCTGATGGAGTTATAGTTTTCTTCGCTTTCTTCTTTGCTTCTCTTTGCTTCTCTTTGCTTCCTTGTTTTATCACTTGTGTTGTGCTCCATGGGAGGTGCAGGTGGTGGTTGAATTGGCTTGGGATTTACCCACGGACCACGTGGTGACCATGGACATGTGGATGAGTTCAGCCTCCATTGAATCCAACAAGTTCCTTAAGGCAACGGAAGCGGTGTCGAATCTGTTTCGAGCACTCTTGGCAAAAGATCTTGGGAAAAGCGGTGTTCTGCCAAAACAGCATTCACCGTTCGATTGCGACACATATATATGTTATCACTGGTCCCGGTACCAGACTCTTTGTGTTCAAGACATTTGACAAAATGAATCCTAGTGCCAAGAGACTACGAATTAGACGAAGAAGTGTGTCACAATCTTACAACCAACTTTACTCTTCTACCTCCGAGTCAAATTCCTTTCTATAGGCTACAAACCAAACTAATACGTCACAAAAAGCCGATGTGAATTCTTCGACAGTTGCGCAACACAAGCCGTTGGAACATTGTTGGCCTTGCGCGCACATTCTTCAGCTCTGCCGGTGTTGGCTCAACGCCAATCGTTGAGGCCATAAGAATTACACCTTTGTTGAAAACCCCGAATTGTTGAACTATTGGCCCTCGGAGGAAAATATTTTATGACGCAGTGAAACTTGGAACACTGTTTGGAAAAGATTCTTAAAGAGGACTTAGAACATTCACCTGCGCTAATTTAGAATGACCGAAGTGTGCTGAACTTCGAACATTGCACTTAGAACACGGGTATAACATCATTCAACCACCTGCAGAACATATAACATAGAGCATGCACCATGAGCATACCAACCTGAAGATGTTTAACTAGGAAATCAATAGGAACTTTAAAAAATCAAAAAGGACACCAATAGGAATCAATAAACTTTATCATGAATTCCATAGGGGTTTAAAAGGATATCAATAGGAATCAAAGAAATTGAAAAGGAAATCAATAGGGGTCCAAAAAGAATTAAAGGGACATCACTAGGAATGAAAAGGATTTCAACAGGACCTTGCTGGAGTTAAAAGGAACTTAAACGGATATCAATAGAAACCCTAAAGGAAATCAATAGGAATTTACCAGGAAATCAATAGGAATCAAAATGATTTGTTCAAAGGAAATCAAAAGAACCTGAAAGAACATCAATAGGAATCACACACACAATTTAAACTTTACATCGAAAGGAATCAACAAATCAATAAATCGCCCGCAGAACGAATGACATAGAACATGCACCATGGCCATGCCAACCTCAGATGTATATATATATATATATTATATATGCGAATGGAAGTGCAGCGACACGTACAGTGCAACTTGTACATATATATATATATACCATATGTACTTTGGCTCAAGGATCAAGCGACTAGAAAAGGTGCGGTTTCCGTTCCGACGCTACGCCGCTTATGGACCGTCAGTGATAGCTTCAAACTTCGCTGATTAAGATCCACTCGCAGGTTATCAGCCGTACGCGCTCTTTATAGCCGTACGAGCTACACGAGACCAAGAACAAGACTAGTCATTACAGAAACCTGCAATGTCAAGCTCAGGAGGAAATGGAAGCGAACCCTATTCATTCGCTGCTCCTGGTGGTCCCAACACCATTTCGTCACCAGACTCTACAATGGGTACTGACTCATCAGCAAATGCTGACGTTATCACTATGCCTACTGGATCACAAATCTCGGAAAGATCCGTGCCACCGGCTCGGAATCTGACCGATCTTGCACCCGTAGGACCAAGAAGATCGATGAGAGCTACAACAAGATCTACATCGCCTATAACGTCTACCGCGAGATCCCCAAGAAGGAGTATAGAGAAGAGACGTGACGATGATAGAGGAACAAAAGAGCAAAGAAGAGAGATTCAGCTGGGTGAAGAATTGAGATCGGCGAGAAACGCATACAATTTTCTTCATCAAGAATATGAATGCATCCAAGCCGGATACTCACGACTACACCACGAGGCTGAAGTGGAGTTCAGGCAAATGTCTGACTACAACAGGAAGATGCAGGAACATCTACAGGAGATGACACAGGAGGATGAAGGAGCGACAATAAGAATTGAAGAGCTCGAACACAAGCTACGCTTGGCGGAATCGACAGCTGAACATATCTACATGAGATATCAAGAGCTTGCACAAGAAACTCATCAAGAACATTCAGAGCTTGAATCTGTGAAAGCAACGAAGGACAGAATGTCCCAAGAGCTTCAAGCAGCAATTGGACACATCCAAGAACAGAATGATTCTTCATTGGCGATCAATAGAAGATCAAAAGTCATTCAGGATGAGAACACAGCCTTCGTCGGAATAGCTGACCAGATACAAGCTAGAATGATTGCGCTACAAGATGAGAATGTCAACATGCACGAGGTGATCCAACACCAGAGAGAAGAACAATGGAACAGTGAGGTAAGGGAAAGACGTCTTCAACACAGTGTTCACTCATCTCAAGATCAGAGCAATCAGGAAGCTATGGTTATTGATCATCTACGAGGTCAACTAGCTATGGCACGTGGAGCTGAACTCAACGCGAGAGCGGAGATAGGAGAGATGGAAGTGGGCATGAGGATGGAGATGTTTATATGCCAGACTGAAGTCTCTGCTAAAGAAATGGCAGAAATGAAGGCGAGCCACCATGAATACGAAGCAAACGTCGCAAAGGAGGTTATCGCAAAAGGAGAAATATTCAACAACGAAGTCCTAGAAAGTTCCATCCGTGAACGACAACAATTGAAAGACGTTAACCTCGCTCTATCCGAAGCCAACGCACAGCTGAAAAGAGAGAATATGATGAGAGCTCCTATGTTCGGCGATGATGGTGCTGAAATTCAACAGAAGATCAGAGAACTGGAGAATGCACTATTAGAAAGCCAGAAGGAGACAAAGAATGTCATTATGGAAAATGCGAAATTAAAAGCAGAAGCACGAATGGCACCCATAGTCTCTCGGTACAGCAAGCGTCCTAGTTCCAGAGACCGTGGGTTACCAACCCACGCGTCCGAGGAAGATGAGATTCGGAACGCAAAAGAGGAGGCGAAGCACTACAAGGACGGGTACAATGAAATGACAGAGAGCCGAGATGAGATGTATGAATGGTATGCAGAAACCCACAATGAGTACGCCGAGGAAAGGGAGAAATCAATTGAGCTATCCGAGGCGAACAAATCATTGAGGGACAAGATTTCAGAAGCAGAAGCATCCTCTTCATCTCATCTTGCACCGGCAACCTCTACAATCATGAAAGTATCGAGGAAGGAAGAATCAAAGATAAACGTTCCGTCATGGCCCAGGATCAATGATCTTGGACTATGGAAGGCAAATCTCATTCAATCGATCATCATTGCGGCCAATGATTCAGATCAAGAGCCCTGGATCGACTGGATCAAAGAAGCCATGGACGATCCTGATCCGGACAAGTTTGTCGACTCAGGAGACCAAAGATTCCATTCAATCGATGCCAAACTCGGCCTAGCTCTTACCAAGGTCGTCATGGACGCGAAAGATGATGGTTCAGGTGTAGCTATGAAGTTGAGGACGAGGATCAATGCAAAAGGGAGAACATCAAGCCTCATAAAGGGAAGAGAGGTCCTAGCCCTGATCCTTATGAATTTCAAGACAACATCAAATGTGGACGTCTTATATACTTCAATGCACCTCTACCAACTAGAATATCAAGGAGACAAGAACTTATCGTTGTTCTTCCACACTTGGGATGAGATTCTGGCAGGAATGAAGCCCGTTGACGTCCCGAGCGACGAAACTCTTCGGGATCTCCTATGGAGAAAGATCAGGAACTCAAACCTCATGGCATACGACATCAGCGCCTACAATAGCATGAACGACGATGATGCCAAGAAGACATACAAACATCTACGTGATATGATCAGAAGGCACATCGAACGGCAAACTGAAGACAGGATGATCCTGGAAAAGGAGAAGGCAGTGAAGAATGTGGCCAATATCTTTCAGAATCTCAAACCAGGCGGACCTGCTCCAAAACTGAAAGCTGCACCAGCTGATCCGAAGAAGAAACCAAAAGGGCAACAAGAACAGGTTGTCTCAGAAGACGCTGCTGCAGTGAAGCCGAAACCCAATCCCAAGAAGCATCCTGAAGACAAGAACAAAAAGGGAAAGGGGAAAGGTAAAGGTGATGGAAAGGATCGCAGCCGAAGTCCGAGTACAGACAAGAAGAAGATACCATGCAAATTCTTCGTGAAAGGTAACTGCACTATGGGGAAAGATTGCCCATTCAGTCACAAGAAACCCAGATCACCATCCAGAGGATCTTCTGTCGGAAAGAATGACAAGCCAGTATGTTGGATGTGGATTCGAGGAACTTGTGACAAAGGGAAGGATTGCAAGTTCTACCATGACCCAAAAGCCTCTCCTAAGAAAGGGATATCTGCACCAGCTGACTCAGGAGACGATAGGCCAAAGCCCAAGGCAAAACCCAAACCGAAGCCTAAGGCGAAGCCTGGAGCCCCAGCCATTGACGGTGAACTCTTCATGGACGAATCCGAAGATGAAGGGATTGCTGCATCCGCCAAGGCAAGAGAAGGAGGTGCAAAAGTATCCTTTGATGAAGAGACTTGTGAGATCATGTTGAACGAAGCGATCTACTCAGTCAGGGACAAATGGAAGGTAGTAGAAAAGAAACCTCTACGTCCGGACATCAAACGATACGATGAGAAAGAGCTCACCTGCTACACGAGGAAAGAACAAATCAGATTTGAAGAAAAGGTCGCAGAGGCGAGAGGCATACTGATGGTCCCCTACACTGAGATCAAGAGGGTCCGAATACCAGTTGGACCAAAGGGTGACCTATCGGTCACTATGTCTTTTGACGAAGATGACGGCCTAGTTTTCCATCATAAAGTCATTCCTCATGTATGCGAGGGAAAGAAAGATCATGCAGACACAAAGACATTGTCTATTCCAGCCAAAGGGTCAAGAACGAAATTCATCATGGACACAGGATGTGAGTATGATTTGATATCGAAAGGCAGAGCCAAGAAATTAGGTCTGGAAGTGAGAGAAAGCGACCAATCAATGTCATTCTATACCGCAAATGGAGTGACATCCACAAAAGGAGTCGCTGACATTCATTTCGACGAATTTGACTCTACCTACTCCCCATTCGTCCTAGATGAGTCTCCTTCAGTACTGTCTGTTGGAAAGAAATGCATGGAGGAAGGATACACATTCATATGGCCAGCCTGCGGCAACCCGTACATGGTTTCCC